AGAATGAAAGAAAATAAAGGAGAAGACCAAATTAAAAACACCTCCCTTTAAAAAGTCCAAGGCTAATCTTGTGCTCATAAAAATGCCATAAATTGCAGTAAAATGTAATAAACAGTGTCTGATAAGTATCAGCTCAACATTTCCTTTCTGCTTTTCTATTTTCTCATTTCAGAAACACTCCCAGTGCAACTTGGTCCTGGGGGTGTTGAGTTGAGTTCTGACAAGGAGGAAGTGGCTTATGTCCCCCTACTCTCTCCAAGCTGATGGGCTCTGTTGGGCGGCTGACTCCTTCCTGGCATGCTCATTCACCTGGGCTAGATTTCCCTAACGCTCCAGACTTCCCTGAGGAAATGGATTCTCAGTGCCACCCATGCTCGGCACTCTGAGAGGATCAAATCAGCATGTTCTCAGCAATCGGCTCTTTCAAGTCCTCAGAAATAAAGGTGAGGATGCACAAAGAAGAATTAAGTGGCAGCTTCACTCCACTGTGGCACCATCAGCTCTGCCTGGACTCTGAGATTTCTCCCCCCCAGCAGTTGAGGAGATTGGTGCCCCACTTCCTTGTAGTCATCAAGGTACATAGTGGGAGACTACTGATCCATATCATGCAGCTGGCTGAAGGTGTGCCCAGGAGAGGTGGCTCAAGTCCCACCTGCCAGACAAGGCACACAGCCCAAGGTATATCTTCAGCCTTTTGGCTTCTCACGCACTGAGAGGTTCTTCTATCATCCTCCAAACAACTTTGTTCCTAACTCTGAGGGTCCTCTTCTATTCACCTCCCTTCAGAAACAAGTTTCCTGTTTTTGTTTTGGGGGCTTCACGTGGCAGTGAGGTTACTCCTGGTGGGCAGGAGGCACCATATGGGATGCTGGGGAATTGAACCTAGCTTGGCCACATGCAAGTCGCTCTGTGCTATCTCTCTAGCCCTCAGATTTGAGGGAGATGTCAGCATTTTCTCAGTGTAACTTAACAGAGATGAAGAACAAAAAGAAGGGACAGCATGGACATGAAATGCACATGCACAAAATATCACTGTGGAGCCAGAACATCAAGTCTCATCTCTTACTGAGAAGTTTATCCATACTCATACAGCAGAGTTCCTACAGACTTTTGGAAACTACACACACACACACACACAAACACACACACACACAGAGGCGTGCGTGCACATTCACCAACCCATCCACACACGAGTCCTTCTGAGGGAGTGGGCAGGCCCCAGGGGCTGAAGCTATTTTCAGCAAAAAGAATGGCACTAGATCTGACAGCTCAGTCCCTCTGCAGAGAGCCCGCCTGCCAGGCCTTTGGCTTGACTTCCTGAAACAACAAACATTTTTTTTTTCTGTAGCTGCTTCCTCCACAAAGTCAATGACCTAATTATTTCTGAAATTCAAGAAAGCCTTTCCAAAGAGTCAAAAGCCCTACATGGCCCGGCCTCAGTTCAAGTCAACATCTTTCTCTCCCACAAGGCTGAAAATCACACAGCATCACACTGCCACGTACTGTAAACCTTGCCTCTGGGTTGAAAAGTTCAGGATGATTAACTCCTGACTTTGCAGCAGCCTTGTTGATTTTGGCATCATTTGGGGGATTCTTGTTAATATGCTCATAAAGTATGTGCTGACGGAGAAGGAGTTTCAAGGGTCCTTCCATTTAATCATATTGGAGAAACGCTCACCCATGCTTCAACCTCAGCCAGCAGTTCAGGGCAATGAGCTACCCATCGCAGGGTCTCCTTCAGAGGTGATGCTCTGCGTCACCCCTGACATCTCTCTCAGCTAAAGCTTTCATAAAATCCTTCTTTCCTCTCTCTCTATTAGTTATTTTTTGAACCTTAATGGTTTTACTGTTGTTTCTGTAATAAAAGGTGATAAAGGAGTGTGTGGAAGAATAAGAAAGGAGAGAGAGGAGGGTTGGAGTTTATGATACAAACATACTATTGGCTGTTCTCTGGGCTCACAATGACCTTACCAAATGGGTACCTCAGTTTTATCTCCACTTTATATATGTGAATGCTGGTGGGTGCAGAGGGGCCAGGTAATTGGCCCAAATGCCCACAACAGTGAGACGAGGAGGTAACTGTGGAAATCAATGGCTTGTGTCTGAGCTCATGCACTCAGTCTAGAACAAATGGAGGGGGACTGAGAAAGTCTGTTAGGAACAAGAAGATGAATGCAGATAAAGCTGGAGACAAGAGCACATTCAACTACTAGGCTAGCAAGAACAGTTTTGTTTTTGCCCATGGGAGCCAGATGTCTGCGCATTTTTATTTTGTTTTTGTTTATGGATCGAATTGTTGGTTGATTAGGCACCATACTTGGTAGTGCTCTGGGCTTACTCCTGGTTCTGTGTTCACAAATCCTGGCAGTGCTTACGTGGTCCTGGGGATCAAATGGGCTCAATTCCAAGGTAAGTGCCATCACTGCCACCCCGTCTGTCTCTCCAGCCCTACCTATGCACTTTAGTTTACATGGGACTATGGAGGTATTGTATCTCTCTACCGTTTAGCATACTCTGGCATGATAAAGCAGCAGTTTGGTTTCCAGTTTCAATTCCAGTTTCAACTCTGCTCAGAGTAAAGCCTTCATTCTCTACAAGATGGAAATCTCTCCTTGATGGCCACTGAATACCTAGTGAGAGAAACTGAGGGGGTTGCTTGCTACCTTCTGCCTTTCTGAGAAACAAGGGACAGTATAAGCAATGTGCATCAAAGGTGCTTAAATGTGGCCCAGTACAATTGGTCTGCATTGATGTGTTGATATTCATAAGCAAAAGGAAAGGGGTGAAAACCCTAAAAGAATGAAAGCAATGAGTATGAAAAAAAGAAAGAAGACCATTTACCCTGAGTACCACGGAGTTACTGGACAGATTCTGGAGTGATCCAATTTGGTATCAATCACTCTTTTTACAAATAAAACATTCATTACTGAAAAAGCATAAAACTTGTAACAGGAGTAAACAGTAGAGAGCAACCGTACATACCATGAGCAAATACCATACTTGATGGCATAGTGCTGAGAAGTGTGTCTTATCTTTTAAAGAAGTTCCTATAGTGCTTCATGCAAAATTGTTGTACCAATTCCTATCCTTTGGTTTGGTGTTTTTGAGTCACTCCTGGCAGTGCTCTGGTGTTTAGGGGCTCCTCCTGCTAGTGCTCAGCAGACTATGTGGTATTGAATTTGGGTTGGATGTATGCAAAGCAAGTACCTTAACTCTATCTCTGGCTCATTTTGAAACAATTTCTAGAAGGATTAGGCAGGCAGGTTAGAACTACAGTTGTGCAGATGAAGATATCAGGGATCTCAGAAGTGTGGATGGACAACCCCAGGCGTCTCTGGGCATCCAAGCTGGACTGAGGAAATGTGAAGAAATTCAAGCCAGAGTTCTGAATACACCTCAAAACCTACGACCACCAGTGATCACGGGCTGCTCCGTGGAACTGATATACCCTCCACAGCAGAACCAGTACTCATTGCTTTGGCACAAGTCTCTCCGTTCCAGCAAAGAGTCATGCAAATTCTGAGCTAAAGAGCCCTAGCTGTGTCACTGAATCGGGTGTTTGCATGGTTTTGAACATCTGTTAAGTGGCTGTGTTTCACTCAAGCACATATTCACTCATCAAATATTTACTGGGCAGTACCTGCTTCCCGTAAGGAGGGTAGACAGGATAGAGAGAGAGGTGCTTTTGAGAAAGCTGCAACGTGGGGAGCTAGATGGAGGAGAACAAGCACACCGGGACTCTAGTAGAACACAAGGGGTATACTTAGATGCTTGGGAGAGGGACTGTGAAAAGGTGTAGCCATTCTGCAAAGCAGCTTGGTGATTTCTCAAACAACAAAACAAAAGCAGCACAAACAAACCCAATCAAACAACCAAAGAAGAGAAATTCCAAAAATGCCCAGTTTTTCACCCCTGGATATATGTTGAAAGACCACGAAAAAGTGAATACAGAGAGATATGCACTCTGAGCTCATGGCGGGGCTACTTGTAAGAGCAGAAAGCTGGGAACAGCCCTAAGTGCAAAGGACAGATGAGTGGATTAAGAAGATGTGATTAAGAAGATACACACAATGGAATACCCTTAGGATATAAATAGATATGGGATCCTGGGGCTAGGAAGTGAGCTCAAAAGGCTAACTCCCTTAGTAGCCCAGGGATGATCCCTGAATACTGCTTGGGAATGCTCCAATACGCTCCTCTCCCCCCACCCCACCCCCCCATCTCCTACTACCACCACCAAGAGAAATAAGGAAAAGATAAAATGCTCCCATTTTCAACAGAAGAAGGAGATCTGGTAGGTATTGTGCATATGGAAGTCAGACACAGAACAAGTATTGTATGATTTCACTCATATGTGGTCTCTAGAGAAACCAAACGAAAGAAATAAAACAAAAGCAAATAAGCGGTTATCAGAAGAGAAGCAGAAAGAGCTGCAGGTGAGATGGGCAGAAGGAGAATCTGTAAGGCAAGGGACAGAACTGGACTTTCAGTAGTGGGCACAGTGTGGGGTATATACACAGGCTTATGGGAATGCTCCCAGAAACTCTGTATGGTGCTAATACAGTGTCACTGGGATAAATATTTTCTTAAAGAGATGTTAAACCAAAATATTTGGCAAATCACTGCCCAAGTTCAATGGAATAAGGTGGGGACAAGTCATCTGGGAAAAGAGGATCAAAAAATCTTTTATGTGTGTGTGTGGGGTGGGGAAGAGATAGAATGGTGGGGAAGGAGTTTGCCTTGAATGCCCCTCACCCAGGTTCCATCCCTGGCATCCCATATGGTCCCCTGAGCCTTACCAGGATTGATCCATGAGTGAAGAGTCAGGAATAAACCCTGAGCACTGCTGGGATGCCCCCCACCCTCCCACGCCCCACCCATCAACAAACAAAACAAAAAGAAAGCCTTTTTGAAGAATTCAAGAGGTAGAGTGTTAACAGATGATAAGGATTGGTTCCATAGCAGTGATCTTAGGGTGCTTAGGGGTTCAATTGGGGTACCTTGCAGTCACATCCAATGGGCTTGCCACATTCCTCACATGTGCTAGCGAAGAGGGTATCGTAGCACGTCAGGCAGTAGGGGTTCTCCTCCCATAGGACGTATTTCTTTCCAAAGAGAGACTCTTTACAGTGGTAACAATCAAAGGATTCATTCATCTTGACACGAATGTGTCCACAACCTATTGGAAAGGAGAGAAAAGCAGGGTTCTAGTGAGCATGCCCCAAGTGCCTTCCCCCTGCCCCCCGCCCCCCTGCCCCACCACACACACAGGGGCACAGACATCCCAGTGAGAATGTCAGTCAACCAAGGCAAGGCTGACTCCTCCAGGCCAATCACAGAAACTCATGCTTCAAACAGATACAATTTTACTTGAAACATTTTTTTTTTATTGAATGAAACTTATTTAGAACGATATGAAGGGGCTTGGATTGGAGACAGGGCACTTTTCTTGCCCTTGTACAGTAGACACAGCATTTTTCTTGCATATTGCTGATCCAGGTTCCATCCCCAGCATCCCATAATGGTCCCCAACGCCTGCCAGGAGTAAGTTCTAAGCATTGCTGGGTGTGACCCCAAAACAAGCAAACAAAAAAGGGAAGATATGAAGGGAGAAGTAAGAGAGGAATTATGAGTTCAAAAGAGAACATGGGTTTCTCCAGAGTGGAGAAAGTGAGCAAAGATACATCATAGACACAAGCCAGTAAGGTGCATGGGCAAGGGAGAACATAGGCTTGAAGAGCAAGCTATGACAGATACCATTTTCCTGGCCCTCTCATAATCAGTTGTAGGTGATGTTGTGTCTCAATGCATGCTACTCCTCAGAAAGTACCAACTGTTGTTGAATGTGTCTCGGTTCTGGATACAAGTAAGCAGTTTGCACCAGAGGCTTCATCCTTGCCTTACCATGTAAGTCTACGCCTTTGCTTACATCCTCCTTCCCATGCTCTCCTCAAGTGGAAAGGTAAAGATAGAATCCATCTGGAATCTTCTGATGAGGTTTCCCATGTGTTCCTCCCATTTGACTGTGGATGTGAACAGTAAGAAACCGCAGCGGCAAGGGTGAACCCAAGATAGATGGTGAGAGAACATGCCCCTTGACCCTGAGTTGGCATGGGAGGCACAATCTCCCTTTGCATGAGTAGAACTATCCCTTAGGGTGAATCATATTTCCCATCTTTCTGTGGCCTGGTCACTGAGCAGGATAAAGGGAAGGCTGGCTTCTACAAGCAAGGACTATCACTCAGTGGGAGAGCAGTGTTCATAGTCCAAGTGCTCTCCAAGTTACACCTTGTACCTTCCCAAAAGGGACAGAAACGTGTCACTGGGCCAGTGACACTGCATTTTTTTTAGGGTAAGCATGAGTGTATCTAAGTAGTCAGGGTGAGGGTGGTTAGAGGGCCGCAAGAGGGGGTGTTTTATTGCCCCCAGCTTAACCTACAAAAATGTCTTAGAAGGATCCAGAAGGAATGAGTCTCTTATGGTCATAAAATCACAGTTGTCAGCAATATTTTCTCATGTGACCATTTGCTGAAAGTGAAAGGCTTTAGAAATGACTAGATATGTAGAGACTAACCATGTTAATGGAGTACTATCTCACCAATTCTAATTAAACTTGATTCAGTCGTTAGTAATTTCCCACCATTTAAGAGTGAAGTCCAGACTAAAATCCTAGGATGCAGATTAAACATTATGGTCTGGCTTACAAAAACAGCAAATTTGATTATGTTTATTAATTTTGTTCTCCTGGATAAACAAGATCCTGAACAGCTGAAAGCAAAGAAATGAACAGCTTTCAGGCATTCATTTTTTATCCTATCTGTGTTTATAGAATACTTTTCTCATCTAAGAGATTTACGCATATAGTTGGACACACATGGCAAGACCCAGCCTTCTAAGTCGCTCTTGCTGGAGTAAAAGAAAACACTGTCTGGACATTCCTGTGATAACATCACAAAATGAGGCGCTTGAGCTTTTGAATTATTGTTCTGGAGTCCAACATACAAATATGCTTTGTAGTAAGGCCATCTCGGGTTACAGCAGCTATACTGGCAGAAGATGCAACACTTTCCTGTAACTCTGAAGTTTTTGGCCTCGAATGTGTCTATCTGGAACTGGAGAGAAAGTACAAGAGTCAAGGCACTTGCCTTGCAGGATTCAGGCCAATCCTGGTCTGAATCCTGGTAACACATATGGGCCTCTGAGCACTGCCAGGAATAATCCCTAAGTACAGAGCCAGGGGTAAGCCCTAAGCACACCTGGGTGTGACCCAAAAAACCACCCTGCACCCTTTCTCCCGCAAATGCCTATCCTTAAGACCTGTCATACCAGCACTTACATATATATATATATATATATATATATATATATACATTTTTTTTCAGTAAAGGTTGCCATTTACTTGTCAAATCATAGGCTTACTCTCTAGTCAGTAAACACAGACTAGAGTGATTAGAGAATCTGAAATAAGAACAACAAAAGGAGATTGAACGAAAACACTGTAGAAAGTCTCAAACTAGAAACAAATCCTGAGATTATTTTTGATGCTGAGCTCATTTTGCGGATTAAAAATTGTGGCACATGGGAGGACAAATAAAAAAGAAGTTCCATATGAGCTTTCTCAAAAAAACTTAGAAATAAAAAAACAAACTTCCAATTCAAATCCAAGGGTAAGTGGTGTCGGTGGTATAGAGCTGAGCATAGCTGCTTTTCAAATTCAAGGGCAGGGGCTGAAGATAGTACAGTGGGTAAGGTGCTTGCCTTTCTCATAGCTGATACTGGTTCGATCCCTGCACCTCATATACTCCCCCAAGTACCGCCACAGGAGTGATTACTCAGTGCAGAGCCAGGACTAAGGAATGCTGGGTGAACTCCCTTCATCCCCCAAAGAAACCCTCAAAATCTGAGGGCAGCCACACTAGCCACAATAGTTTTGGAGAACATTGCTGGGAAGGAATGTGGGCCACAGACCATAGCAATACTCTCTGGACAGCACCACTTCCTGTTCAGAAGCTCAGAAAAAGAGACCTTCTTCTAAGGTGAATATCTTAATGCTCACACACCTGGTGGGTTTTCCCTCTTCTCCGAGTTCACAGAAGTGAGACGGAAATGATCTAAGGAGTCAGCTCAGAATCAGTAGTTGAAGGAGAGCTCAAAGTGTGAAGCCAGCAAGAATGGAACGTGCCATGACAACTGCCTGCTCTGAGGGTCTGGCTGGGAAGAAGCACGTAGCTTTGCAGCCTGGCTCCTGGTGTCTGCTGAACCATTTGTGATGATGAATCTTGTGCTCCCTCCCTATCTTCTCTGAGAAGTCACTCAGATTTACAGGTTAATAGAGTTTTTCTGCTTAAACCAACAGGTCAGGGTGGAAAACAAGCACTTTTTACTAATTAGGAACAGAAGCGATACATTTGTGAAAATCCTTTTCTGGATTTTCAGAAATATCTATGATGCCCCAACCCTGGGAGGCAGAGGAAATTGCTCACACATGCATGAGAAAACACCCACTATGATGAAGTGTTTCAAAACCCATTCAACCTAGATGTCTAATGACAAATGAATGAATTATGAAAATATGGTATAAAAAAATGACACACTGCAGCTGAAAGGAACAATAAAAATTGTGCAATGTGCTGCAATCTGGGTGAAACTAGAAGAGATCACATTAAGGGAGGGGAGCCAGAATAAGAAAGACAAACACAAGATGATCTCACTTATCTGAGGTATACAGAATGACGAGATAAAGGAAAGGGGAAACACCTTTGGCCCCAAAGTATAGGGAGGAGCACAGAGAAGGAAAGACACATTAAGGGGGAGTGTAAGAAGATGAGGAAAGAAAGTAACAGGGAGCAGGGATCAGGGGCCCTGAGTATATCAGTACTGTAGAAGAGTGATACGGCTCTCTATCCGAATCTCAGAGTCAACGACCTTGAAAACATGAGATTCAGACTACAACAACAGAACCTTAAAATGTGCCTGTCTGCTGGGGGAAAAGGCAACTCTGATAGAGAAGGGAGAACCAAATAAAGGGTGTTTGGAGGATCCTCCCAGGATGGGAGAAGCATGCTGAAAGTAGACTACAGATGGAACATGATTGCCACTCAATGCCTCTTTTGCAAACCACAACACCCAAAAGGAGAGAGAGAACAAAGGGAAATGCTCTGCCACAGAGGCAGGGTGGGATGGGGGGTTGGGGGGCTGGGAGGGATAGTGGGACCCGTGGTGGTGGAAAATGGGCACTGGTGAAAGGATGGGTACTTGATCATTGTATAATCGAAACTCAAGCACAAAAATTTGTAAGTCTACAACTGTACCTCATGGTGTTTCACTAATAAAAATTAAAGAAAATGTGCCTGTCAAGGTAGCAGGCTGCTGGGACGGGGGCAGGAGGGAACTTGGGAACACTGGTGGAGGGAAGTTGACACTGATAATGGGACTGATGTTAGAACATTGCATGTCTAAAACTAAACTATCAATAACTTTGCAAATCATGGTGTTTTGTTATTTATTTATTGCTTTTGGGGGGTCGCACTGGTGATGCACAGGGGTTACTCCTGGCTCTGTACTCAAGAATCACTCCTGTTGGTGCTCAGGGGATCATATGGGATGCTGGGAATCAAACCCAGGTCGGCTGTGTGCACGCCCTACCTGCCGTTCTATCGCTCCAGCCCCAAATCACAGTGTTTTAATAAAAAATATTCTTCCTTAATTGCATGCTACCCAATAAAATAGCAATAAAAGTGGCATATTAGGCATGTCCTTCAAGCCCATGTTCTCCCTTGAATACATATCTATCTTGCTTGCTTATCTCTATGTCTCTTTGTTTGCATTTTTCCACTCTGGGGAAGCCCATGATCTCTCTTGAACACGTATTTCCTCTCTTTTTCTTCTCCCATCTTTCTAAGTAAGTTTCTTTCGATAAAACCTATCTTGCCTCACAAAAAAAAGCCCATTTGAAGTTTATATTATCAATCTTCAGTTTTAATCTTAAACCTCCTCTATTAAAGGGAATAACCTCTCACCCTACACTGAAGATCCCTGTCCTATACAAGATCTAATTATTGCTTCAGTCAAGAAGCATTTACTGAGTTGAAACTGATTATGGAAACTGGAAAACACATGGACGCATAGGATGAGAATCTTTCTGAAGACACCAAAGAGAGAGGGGGAGGAAAGTGGACGATATGATTAGGTAAGGATAAAGCTGCCACAGAGATGCACGCTGAGAATCAGAGGAGGAGCCCCATGGGCGGGCAGAGTAGCAACTCAGAGGGCTTGCTAGCTGCATTGGGACAGGACAAGCCAGAAAGGAGCAAGGCCAGGGTCCAGGGCCAGAGGCATGGAGATGAGCCACAGTCAGGGAGACAGGAATGAACCAGCAGAGATGAACTAATAGACAGCAATGGCAAAGGGTGTATGTGGGGAACTTCGTGGAGAACCTGGACTCTCTCTCTCTCTCTCTCTCTCTCTCTCTCTTTTTCTGTGTGTGTGTGTGTGTGTGTGTGTGTGTGTGTGTGTGTGTGTCTCCTTTTGGGCATTGTGGTTTACAATACAGATACTGTAAGGTTGTTGTCCTCAAAGGTTTTATGTCATTCTTATCCATGACCTGCACCCCCAATGCTAAAAAGATTAAATAACAGCAGCTGAGGCATGTAACTGCTGTCATTTAGTTGAGGGGACTTTAAATGACAGGGTCCTGAAGTTTCCAGTCTCTGAGCTTTTCCCCTGAAGCTCTCAACAGTCGGGGTACTTGAAAATGCTAGGCATTAGGCCCTGCAATGGGCATGGGGGCAAATCCCAGGTGCGTTGTCTGATCTGGAAGGGCCTGGATCTGTTAGCTTCATCTTCCCAGGGATGTGGGGAGGCAAAGATGCCCTCATGCATAGAAAGTGTAGCCTTTCTAAAAGCCATGATTCTTTTTCAAGGTTCACGCATAGAAGTGAATTTTATCTTTCAGAAACCAAAAAAATCTCCCTCTGCGAGAGGGATATATCAGCAGAAAAGAGATGGCAACGAGAGAGGGGGAAGGAAAGTGGAAGAGGTGGAGGTGAGGGTTAGTGAGGGAGGAAAGAGATGCAATATAGCCCAGGCTTAGAAAGAAAGGCAGGAAGCTTATGAAGTTCCCTCTCAAACTGAAAACGTGGGCTGGAATGATAGTGCACTGGGACAGGGCACTTGCCTCGAACATAGCTGGGTTTGATCCCTGGAATTCCATATGGTCCCTTGAGCCCTTCAGGAGTGATTCCTGAGCACAGAGCCAGGAGGAAGTCCTGAGCACTGCTGGGTGTGCACCCCCCCCAAACAAAAACAAAACAAAACAAAAATCAGAAACATATCCTGAGATGCAGCAGCCTCTGCTGGGCATGCAGGCCCAGCTGGCATGCCCAGTGCTTGATTTTTCCTTCCCTGTGGGAAACCTGCTCGGCCTTGAGGGCAAATCTGCGAAAAAGTTTTGGTTACACAGTTCTTTCAATATGATCTTTATTTTCCCATCTACTTGTAACTGACCCAGTACAAAGGTCCCATCCTGCTTGTCCTTGAGATCAGTCTTTCTACATCAGACTCTAATAAAGTCAGTTCTAAGAGACCAACCTACAGAGAGCCTCAGGACCCCTCCCACTGTGCTGGAATCAGATCCCATCTGGCATGTGTCCCCGATAAAAGTTTTCCATTTAATTGGCACCAGGCTTTCAGATAGCAAATACCACTACTTAACAACCACCAGCCAGAACTTCAGAGGGTAAAGAAAATTAGTCTGATACCCGTGGGCTTGTTTTAAGACTCTTGTTCGATAGACACTTTCATGGTCCCTGTGATGTCACGCTGCCTGTGTGTCCCATTAAAGGGCTGCAGAACTGGCACCGTGGGCAACCAGCATCTCGTCGGCAGGAAACGCAGACAGGCTGAGCCGCCTCAATAATACTTGTCAAATGAATGAACAACCGGATGAGCTCAACTTACATAAGCAAAACTGAAGGAGGATTTTCTGCACACAATCCATTTTGTACAACCCAACCAAACTGAAATGCACTTTGGCATGTGAGGCAATGAATGTGCCTAGTGTAACAGAGTCTGTGCACCACTTTCCTCCCCTCCTCTCCTCAACTCTGCTCTTTTTTTCTGCTCTCCACATAAACTGCTGCTTCCTTAGTGGGTAGAACATCTCTTATTATTTCTGAATACTTAAACCCATGTGAACAAAATTACGTGGCCAGGTTAAGGCCTGCGTAGGTCAAGAAACAAAAATGCCAGTAAGAAGACACCCTGATCATCTCTGGAAGAATGTGCTAAATGTCCTGACACAAGTCCCAGTGAATGGCCCAGAATATTCTGTACATACTCTACAGGTCCGTGATCCCACAGATCACTATGCAAAGACATCATCGACAGGCATTAAGAAACTCAGAGAGGGGCTGGAACAGTGGGTAGGGTGTTTGCCTTGCACGCAGCTGACCGGGGTGATTCCCCCGAGCACTGCTGGGGGTAATTCCTGAGTGCAGAGCCAGGAGTGACCCCTGTGCATTGCCAGGTGTGACCCAAAAAGTTAAAAAAAAAAAAAAAAAGAAAGAAAGAAATTCAAAGAACAGCCCTCATGGGGGAAAGTTGGAAATGCTGAAAGCTCATGTGTGATTCTGGTCTGGGCCTTAGAACCAGTAAGATCAATGGAGTCAGTGAAGCTCTAGTTCAAAAATCTGACAGGTTCAGCAGGAGAAAAAGTCCAATGGTAAGACACATGCCTCAGACCCTGCAGTGTATTGTTCCCTGGGCAACCACCAGGGGCCACTCCTGAGCACTGAGCTAGGACTAGCCTCTGAACTATGCAAGATGCCCTGGCCACCTTCCCTCAATCCCTCATCCCTGCAACATAACCAAAGACACAAAACAAAAGCTGGCAGGCTCAAAACCCACGATGAGCTGTCATCACAGTGTGAGTCAGAGTGCTAGAAAACACTAACATCACCATTCGGTCCAAAATGCTTCAGAGTTCTCTCAGGCTTTTTTTTTTTTAAATTTTATTTTTAAATTTTCTCTCTAGGATCTTCCCCTCTTCTGTTCAAATCCAAGGATGTTAGAAGACTGATGTCCAGGCCTGTAAGTCAGCAGGAAGGAATTCTGACTTGTACATCTTGTTTTGTTCCTACAGCCTTCAAGTGATTACCCACCGACCAGTTGAGAGGGGGTGGGAGGGTTATCTACTTTATTCAATCTACTGATTCCCATGTGAGCCTCATCCAGAAACAGCTTCACAGATACACCCAGAAACATGAAACAAATGTCTGGATGCCTATGGTCCAGTCACATAAAACTGATGTTCACAGGGGCTAAAAGTGAAATCCACAAATCAGGACAAGATGGCCATTCATTTATCTTTCTCTCCCCTCCCTGTCTGGAACCTCGCTCCCCTCCTGCCATCAGTCACAATGCCAACTTGGTCCCCAGGAAGAATGGGCTCTGAGCCCATGTGTATTGTTCAAGGGGATCATTTTGAGTAAGGAGCTTTACAGTATAATTTCATGTGATAAACATGACTCTGATAAAAATTCTCATAATAAAACCACACAGGAAGTACCTACTATCTAACAGTCCTGCCAAGCTCCAGGAACCCTCGTGTCTCTTTGCATCTGGATAACTAGGGCTCAGGGCAGGGCAGGAATAGAACCCTGCTTCACCGGGCCCAGTGAATGGCTTTCGCTATCCGACTGGGTGTCTGTGTCTGCTCTCAGAGTTCTTTAACGATTCTGGGCAACTGCCTGCAATGGTCACTGTGACATCTCTGTGCTTTGGTGGTCTGGAAAGGTGAGTTATTATCTGGGATATACGCACTGCAGATGATGCAGTAGTTTCATTGCAATCTTGCAAGCACAGTACAACCACACCCCACTTTCCAGTCCGGAGGAAAGCAAGGCACCAAGCAATCAAGAGCATTGGTCAAAGCTGAAGGACTCCCGTGGGTTCGGCCAGGTGGCCCAGCTCCTATCCAGGGATGCTCTAGTCTATCCCAGCTCTAAGTGAGGACCGGCTGTGGGAATTCACTGACGGTGGACCTGACCCTCAATGCTTGCTTTCCCAGTCAAGCCCAATGGAGGCTTTCTACCAGGAAGCCCCGTAAGAGCATTTTGAAACAGGACAAAATTAACATCATGGAAACCCTTTGAGTCAGGGCGAAGGCTGCGGAAAATTTTGCTCCTGGCTTGGGGCGCTTAGGCCGGGGGGACACACTGTCGGTCGCGGCTGAAGCCCTCGCAGCAGCGCGAGAAGGGGACCCCCGCCCCTCTTCGCCCCCCAGTACACACTCAGCCTTGTAGAACGGATTTTCCTAGCGGCGCGAACAAAATGTGCGCAGAGACGAGGGCACGCCGGCCACTACCGCGGGGATCTAAGAATCAGCGGGTCTTCCGCGCAAAGCGAGCCTGTTCACAAAGACCAGATGGCCTGTTGGCCTGTTGGGCTGGTCACAAGGGAACCCCGTGGCACTGCCAGCTGCAATCCCCGGGGACGTGCCCGATCCCGGCTTGGGTGAGGAGCAGGGCAGCGGGGGGCGCGGAGCCTCAGAGGTTGAGGCGCTCGCGAAGGGCTCGCGGACACGGGGGTGTGTGCGCGATAGGAGCGATCGGATCGGGGAAGCGGGGCACCGGGGCGACGGCACCCTGGCCCGCAAGGAGCTCAGTTCCCACTTGGAGTTGGCTCTGCGCTCCCTCCCTCCCCTCCGAGTCCCGAAGCAGCGCGATCCCCCTCTGTGTTGGGGTACTGGGTGCCCCCAGGCACCCGGGCTTCCTTGGGCCCCGCTCCCTTCTCCCGGGCTCCGCAGAGAGGCCAATCTCGCCGCGCGCTCACCGTTTCTCGGAGCCAGGATGAAGATGCGCTCGGGGTCTCTCCAGCAGCCGATGGGGAAGCGCTCACCGCTTCTCGGGGTGCGGATGAGGCGCGCTCACCGGGGAGCAAATGAAGCGCGCTCACAGTCTCTCGGGGCGCGGATGGGGGCGCGCTCACCGGCTCTGGGGTGCGGATGGGGGCGCGCTCACCGACTCTTGGGCCACGGATAAGAGGGCGCTCACCATACTCGGAGCCTGGATGGAGCGCGCTCACCGACTCTCGGGGCACGGACTGGGGGGCGCTCACCGTCCTCGGAATCCGGATGGGGACGCGCGCTCACCGTCTCTCGGGGGCGCGCCCACCGGCTCTCGGGGCGCCGATGGGGGCGCGCCCACCGGCTCTCGGGGCGCGGATGAGAGGGCGCGCTCACGGTCTCTTGGGGCGCGGATGGAGGCGCGCTCACCGCCTCTCGGGGCGCGGACAGGGGCGCGCTCACCGGCTCTCGGGTCGTGGATGGAGGCGCGCTCACTGGCACGCCCTCACGGCCCTCACGGAGCGGGCGCGGCGACTGCTGCACGCCGGAGAGGACGGCTGTGCTGGCCCTGAGACCCCGCCCCGCAGCGCCCCCGCCGAGTCACTTGCCCATATTAGGAAAGGCGCGTCTCCCAGGCGCCGGCTGCGCGGGATAGGAGCGGAGGTGCAGGGTGGTACCTTCGGAACCCCCGACTCCCTGCGGCCTTCTGACTTCTTCCGGGTCAGAGCTTTTCTTTTCTTTTCTTTTCTTTTCTTTTTTTTTTCTTTTCTTTTCTTTTCTTTTCGTGAGCGGAGTTCGTGGGGCGTTGGTTTTAGAAGGTGGGGAACGGGGAAGGGGGTTACGGACTGTTGCGCCCCTTACCTGCGGGCCGCCAAGACCACCCCCAAGCTGGCTTCGAGGAGCTGGCTAGGTCCGCAGTCTGGGGAGCGCTCGGGGGTGGGGCTCGCCGGCACCCCCTCTAAGCAGGCATCAGAGGGTACCAGCCAGCTAGGGCCAGACAGTGTGGGGGCTTCTTGGGCGAGAGAGGAGGGGCTCTTCGCCCGAGCTATGCAGAGATGAGCGAATGACGCTGTTCTGCTATCCGGTTGGGCCTGGGGAACACAGAAGAGGGGGTGTGCTCCACCCACACTTAAAGCTGCCCCCCACCCCAGGCCCCGCGTAAAACTCTTACAGGCGTCCAGCTTTGCTCCCGCTGTTATGTCAGGGGAAGGGAGTTTCGCTAGCACACTGACCAGACCAGACATGAGGACGCAAATGCAGGGCCCTTTTATTATTAGGGTCCAAGTCTCTCATGCAACGGCAGTGGAGCCTTGACAAGGACCCCCAACTCCGAATTCTGAGTAGTTTATAAAGGGTTTGGTTACATAATAGTATTTTTTTTTCTAGGAATTGGCAATATGTTTCCAATTGTGGTCCCAGTCCTGTCCTATAACACCAGGGACCAACACTATGTTTCCAATTCTTAGTCCCAGTCTTGTCCAGTAACTTCACTCCCTGGGCCTTCTCTGCTTGGCTGGGCGCCACTGCCCATGCCCCCTATTCTGATAGGCTGTTGCCACAGGGTGATTTATCTGCTCAGGATGATATGTTTTTTGAGATGTCAAGACTTTCTGATAGGGGAAACCAAAACTTAGGCTTGCTGAGTTTTGATCTTAAAGTGGAGTCTGTCATGACAGAGTCTGTGACTTCAACCTCACACCGCCACCTAGACCGCGGACCCGCAGAGGTGGGAACTGGAAGTTGGCAGGTGGCAAAGCCTGCCAGTGTCTTAGAGGACTGGAAGCCCCTTGGTGTTGTCTGTGCAGGCCTGCAGATCACTGAACCTGGCCACAGCTGGACGGAGCTCCAGGAACGGAAGTGTGGGTTCAAATCTGAGTCCCCACCACTTTCTAGATAGGCCTGGGCGTGACAGTCAGAGACAGGTGCGTCTCTCCAAAAGCCTTTCACCTCTAATAGTTACCTCCCTTTGTTGGGGGTAGTTAGAAACCACAGACTGCTTACTGGGTAGTTCTCAAAGAGTTAGTCTAAGGTTTTGGAGGACACAGATTTATTTATTTATCTTTTTGGCTTCTGGGGTCACACCTGGCAATGCTCAGGGGTTACTCCTGGCTCTGCACTCAGGAATCACTCCTTCTAGTGCTCAAAGTACCACATGGGTGCCGGGGATCCAACCTGGTTCAGCCCCTCCCCCCCACCCGATGCAAGGTAAACACTCAGCCCCACACAGATTAAGAATACAATGAAACATTAGTTTCTACTTTTTCTGTCTTCTTTCTTTCTTTCTTTCTTTCTTTCTTTCTTTCTTTCTTTCTTTCTTTTTCTTTCTTTCTTCCTTTCGTTCTTTGGAACTGAGTTGTGTAATTTATTTTGATTGTTTTTTTTGGGGGGGGTTGGGGGAGTCACACCTGGTCGTGCTCAGGACTTACTCCTGGCTGTGTGCTCAGGTATCACTTCTGATAGGGGATTTTGGGGAACCCCATGGGGTACCATGGATGGAAGCCAGGTAGACTACCTGCAAGGCAAATCCCTTACCTGCAGTTATTATCTCTCCTGCCCCCCTATATTTCCATTTTTGTTTTTGGAGTTGTTTAGGTCTATGAATAAATAAATAAATAAATCCAATAAAATGAACTAGTAACTTTTGGTAGGTTCATCTGTATCCCACAGATGCTGATATGTGGTGTGTATTAACTTCAAACAAATCATGCGATTTAATTTTGTGTTTCACCATTAGACCTGAAGAATAAAGTAACATGAAATGAACTGTGTGGCTATGATCAGAAAGATCCAGTTCTGGAAATAGGTCTGCCCAGTTTTTTTTTCCTTTCCAGGGGCAAGGGTGAGGAGCATGCTCCCAGGGGCTCCTAGGAAGCCATAAAGAAATGAATCACACCATAAGCAATGGCACCATCTTGGTAGGCGGCAAAAATAAGAAAATCCAGCTAGTTCCAATTCTTGGAACTGAAACAGTTTCTATTTCCAAGAAATCAAACAGTTCATAACTAGCCAACCTGACCCCACCTGGAAAGTCCTTGGGCCCAGCAAGTGGACTCAATCACTCACCATGCGCCTAAATTGTCTTTTGTTAACACAAAGGATGAGTAGTTTATGTAATCATATGCTATATAATGCCCTCTGAAACTAGAGACAGAGTCTTGGAAGTGGCTGTGTCAGTGTCAGTGTGGATTTGGACCCTAGCTCGAACTAGCAATAAAATTCATTGCTTTTGCATCACAAGAGTGTTCCCTCTTCCTTATTCCGAGGCCCTGCGAATACTTTTAGTTAAACAGCCCCAACCCCTGGAGCACTGTGTAGTCCAGAGGAGGAAGATAGGGCTGCTCCACTCCAGGCCTCCAGGGATGTACTCCTCCCCCTCCCCTCTCCACCCAGCCCTGCCCCACCCCAAAGGCTCAGGGGAAGGATGCTGGGGACAGAGCAGGGTTGACATCAGGCAAGGCAAATGCCATAACCCCTGTACTATCTCTCTAGCCCCAGATTTGCCCAGTTTGACTACTTAGGATAGTAAATACATAAATAAATAAAGGTGCAAACCAAGAGATTAACTCAGAAAACGAAACTCAAGAGCAATGAATGAATGTAAACTGAGTCTAAAAGTACAAACTATTAAAAGATAAGATTAGTTCTGGGGCATATGACACAAGCACGACTTTACAGCCTTCATGCGTCATTAATTTATTTAGCTTTGGTAATGAAATCTTCCCTCCCTTCACACACAGGCAGACACATACTTCTAAAACACTGATTTTTCTGAATAGCACCAAAATATTTACCAATGAATTAATATAATTTCTGGGGTTGTTTCAAAATCAATTTGTGGTGTGGGAAAGGACAGATTCTATGTGAACTAAGTCAGCCATGGATTAATAGTAACCATTGAAGTGGGTTGACTGGTATGTGGAAATTTATTATACTCTTCTTTTGTAATGCCTGAAGAATTCCAGTGACAATTTTGCAAATACAATCCATCCTTAACTCAACATTTCCCCTTACAGAAATAATCCTATATTAAGTTGATAGACCTATAAGAAAAGTCACAATTCTACTAAAAATGTAGAATTTTTAGTAAAAGCAAAACATTGGACTGTGCTCCATGTGCATTATCACAACCTAGATCAAAGACCATATCATATATTTTAGAATTACAACTATACACACCTGTTAAAAAAAGAATAAGTTAACTATAATAACTGATTTGGTCTTAACTCCAAGCACTGAAAGAAAAGTAGAGAGTGCTTTGTAGATGGTAACCAACCATTTGTGTTACTAAAACAAAGAGAGGAAGACAATATTTACATATAGTGGTGGTTTTCTTTGGGCAATCTGGTGGCCAGGAATCAGAGATGAATTTTTCCAGTACACTCTGCTTCCTTGGAATTTTAAGCCATGGAGCATATTATTTATTCAAAAGGAAAAATGTCCCCGGACAACATATTCTCCTTTAAGCAAAAAATTTATTAAACTGAGATTTATAGACTACCAAAGGGCAGGAATGTTATAGAAACAGAAGAAAGAGGAATGAAATGCTGGACATAATGACATGTGTACTTCTTTAAACTTTTATCAAAGGACAGTCTCAAAAAATTAAGTTTTCATGAAACTTCTGGGAAAATGTCTTCTAAAAAGTAGAAGACAAAATAATCATTTTAATAGATTATTTTTTAAAATAGCAGAGAGGAAATTATGGAAAATGTAGCTGTTTATAGCAGTGCAGCTTCCTCTCCGGAGTCAGGCGTGGATATGAGCCTCTATCTCCATGATGTCTAGTAACCACGAATTCTCCCTAATGCTCAGTTTGATCCCATGGAAAATGGACTAATACACTTTGTCAATTGTTGGGAGTATTCTTTGAGATGACACCTCTAATCTACAGAACACTGTTAGGACACTCCTTGGAATACAGTGTCAAAGGCATTGAAATTGTAATGCTCCTGACAGATAAAAATATGATGTAGATCAATAACTTGTAGCGGCACCAGCTGATGAAAAGGAAGAAGCATCTGAGATCACCACACCACACAAGCAAAGTGGGGGCAATAACTCCAATAGTTCATTCAGGTTCTCTTGTTT